ACTCTGGTAGTGTAGTGCCTAAGGCATCTTACTGCAAACCAGAAGGCTGGTGGTTCAAACCCACCAACCACTCCTCAGAAGGAAGATGGGGTAATCTACTTCCATAGTGATACCACCTCAGAAACCCAAGGAGGGGTCGCTATGAGTTGGGTCTGACTCAAGAGCACACAACAACAACAAAAGAATGATTCATATTATAAGTTGTCTAGCATATCAGACAAAAGAAGATGGAAGGAATATAAAGTCCCTGGTGGCATAGTGCCTAAGGCATTTGACTGTTAACCAGAAGGCTGGGTTCAAACCCACGAGTCACTTCTCGGAAGGAAGACTGAGCAATCTAGTTCTGTAGAGATACTGCCTCAGAAGCCCAAGGAGGGGTTGCCATGAGTCGAATCAACTCAACAGCAGCAAGGTTTTTTGTACGAAAAAGAATTAGTCAATGTTCAACCATTTCAGGAGGTAGCATATGATGAACCAATGACATTGAAGGAAGAACTCTAAGCTGCGTTGAAGGCACTAGTGAAAACCAAGGCTCCAGGAATTGATGGAATACCAACTGAGATGTTTCATGATAAGAAATTTGGAAGACAGCTGCCTGCCTAACCAGTTGGAAGAGATCTATATTTGTGCCCATTCCAAATAAAGATGATCCAAACAGAAAATGGAACTTATTCAACCATTATCATTAATAGCACACACAAGTAAAATTCTGCTGAAGGCAATTTAAAAAATAGTTGCAGCAGTACATTGAGAACTACCAGAAACTCAAGCCAGATTCAGAAGAGGATATGGAATGAAGGATATCACTACTAATCTCAGACAGACCTTGGCTGAAAGTAGAAAAAAACAGAAGGATGTTTACCTGTGTTTTATTGACTATGCAAAGGCATTTGACCATGTGGATCATAACAAATTATCAATAACATTGTGAATAATGGGAATTCCAGAACATTTAATTGTCTCATAAGGAACTAGTACATAGACCAAGAGGCAGTTGTTTGAACAGAACAAGGGGATACCACATGGTTTAAAATCAGGAAAGGGGTGTGTCAAGGTCAGATGCCTTCACCATACTTATTTAATAATCTGAGAAACTGGACAATATGAAGGAGGATGTAGCATCAGGATTGGAGGAAAACTCACTAACAACCTGCAATGTACAGACGACACAGCCTTGCATGCTGAAAGTGAACCCAAACCCACTGCCATGAAGTTGATTCCAACTCATAGAAATCCCCACTGGGTTTCCAAGGCAATAAATCTTTACATAAGTGGACAGCCTCACCTTCCTCCCATGGAGCAGCTGATGGGTTTGAACTACTGACCTTCTGGATAGCAGCCAAATGTCTTACCTACTACACCACCAGAGCTCCTAGCTGAAAGTGAAGAGGTCTTGAAATACATACTGATGAACGTCAAAGACTACAGCCTTCAGTATGGATTACACTTAAATGTAATGAAAACAACAATCCTCACAACTGGACCAATAAGCAACATCATGATAAACAGAGAAAAGATCAAAGTTGTCAAGGATTTCATTTTACTTGGCTCCACAATCAATGTCCATGGAAGAAGCAGTCAAGAAATCAATTATGTATTGCACTGGGAAAATCAGCTGCAAAATATCTCTTTGAAGTGTTAAAGAGCAAAGATGTCACTTTTAGGACTAAGGGGCACCTGACCCAAGCCATGATATTTTCGACCATCTCATATGTATGCAAAAGCTGCATCAGGAATAAGTAAGACCAAGGAAGAATTGATGCCTTTGGATTATGGCATTGGAAAGAATATTGAACATACCGTGAACTGCCAAAAGAATGATCAAATCTGTCTTGGAAGAAGAACAGCCAATTTCCTTCTGTGAAATGAGAATGAGGAGACTTCGTCTCCCATACTTTGGACGTGTTATCAGGAGGGCCCAGTCACTAGAGGAGGACATCATGGATTTACACAGTGCTTCAACAGTGGGTTTAGACATAGCAATCATTGTGAGAATGGTGCAAGGCCAAGCAGTGTTTCCTTCTGTTGTACATATGGTCACTATGACTTGGAACTGACTTGATGGCACCTAATAACAACAGCCTATCAGAGGAGGGAAAGACTAGGTGTATAAGGAGGACCTCCTTGAAGAGGTGGGATAATGGTCCAGGATTGAGCTTTGAAGAATCAATAGAGTTTTGTGTGTGAAGGAGGGAGAGAGTTCTAGACATTAAGGAACACTAGCACAGTCACAGAGAAAGAGGTGCCCCAGCATATGCAGGAGTCCAGAGGAAGAGAATCCCAGGGAAACCTTTCCAGAGCCACATATCCCAACACATCTAATAGGCTTTATGAGTTCACTCTTCAATTGTCCTGGCGACTGTGAGAATGCTATAAACGCCACCACGTGTGATACAATGAAAGCCCACTTAAGGCTCTTTCGGATTTCAATTGGGAGACAGAACACTCACCCCCCAAATAATCATCAGTCTTCTCCAGATCAGTTAATAACAATTCCTTTTTTTTTTTTTTCCAGTTGTTCAAGTCAGGAACCTTGGAATCCTTAATAAACCTTCTCTTTTTCTCACATTCCATACTCAGCCTGTCAAAATACAGCAAAACCCGTGATA